ACCCCAGCCTCACAGCACAGGATCCTAGATCTCAGCCCTATGTATTGATTGGTACCATCTGAGATGATGCCGATGAGCCCTGAGCTAGTGGGATGCCATCGCTTCCTGGCTGACCTCTGGCCTCCATTCACACAGTCCCTCCATAGTTACTGGGTTCACTGGGTGAGTAACTGCCAGGTCTTGCTTCCCGACAGGCACTACTGCTGCCTGTTATGCAAACTATGAAAGAAGGGCATGGTGGGTAAGCAGTCCTACATACAGTTCCCTCACTTGGAATACTGAAGCAGGAGGATCATCAGTCTGAGGCCAGCCTGAACTACATAGTGAGCCCCAATATTAAAGGAGGGGTTGCGTGTAACTAAGAGGTAGAGAAACTGCCTAGCATGTGCAAAGCCTTGGGTTTAACCCTGCAGTAGCGCCACACACCCATGCATACACACACACACACACACACACACACACACACACACACACACACGTTTCTAAAGGCTGAAAGGGGAAATTTCAACTCAGCACAAAAATGTACTAAAAGACGGGGGGGGGGGGGGGGGTTAGGCCCTGTGAGAAAAGCTAAGAGCCTGCCAACCTGCATTTACCCCAAAAGAGGAACAGGAAACAAAACTTGCCACTACACCCCACCTTTCCACTCCTCACCAATCAACCCTATAAATGTTGCTGAAGAGAGGCTGCTCCTGATGGGAGGGCTGAGGCGGCTGCAGCTCCCTCCACACGTCCCCTCTGCCAACAACCAACTCCTGATAAAAGACACTCCTTTTATCCTCTCCACTAACACCAGGCCCCATGCCCCCACCCCAGGGGACCCTGTGTCAAAAAGCTTGTAGTAGGTGCTAAGCTGCGCCTCAGAGAGACCAGACACTATCTAGCTGAGGAAGGTCTGTCTACTCCATAGAGGCCCCCTGGGGTTCAGCTGCTGGAAAACCAGGAAATACAGAATTTGAGATAAATCTGGGCACTTGGCAGCTCCCTCCCCAAAGTCCTTACATGTTGGTAAGGGTTTATGAAAGGTTTATGGTAAGGTTTATGAAAGGGCAGCATGAAAAAGGAAGATAAAATACTGACCCACACATTCCTGAAGTGGAAGCAGCGACAGTCATCAGCGTTAGCTGGGCTACTTGGGTTCAACTTGACCCCTGCCCTTTCCCTAGTGATACAGAGGGAAAGTTCCCCAGCCCAGAGGGGCAGATTCTGGGGTAAAAGACTTCTAGCCATTCTACTTCCCACCCTTGCTCGGCCTGGGAGGGACTGGGCACTCTCCTGCACTGGGTTTAAGAGACCAGGTCCTCCTTGAGCAAACAGAGACTTTGCCAGACCCAACCTCACCCATAAACCTGCCCTTATTCTCCAAGTCCTGCTTTCTCCATTAGTCAGGTCACTCCACCTGCCTGCCTTCAGGTAAGGCAGTTCTCCCTCAGTCCTCTGGGCACTTCTGGGAGTGGGGAGTTCTTAGGCCACCGGAAAAATAGGAACACAAGCATTCCCCCATCCTCCTGCAGTCCAGGCAGCTTCTGAGCTAGGGTGCTTCTCTGCACCCCACAGAGATCCTCTACCTGGTATCTGGGGTCCGGGCCAGGGGCTCACACAAATGATTCATGGAAATGAGTGGGGTGTAAGGCAGGCAGGCTCCCAGGCCTCAGGCTCCCAGGCCTCTGCGCTTTGGTTGCTGAGTCTGCCCTCCCTCTTTTTATACCTTCTCTGCCCTGGAAGGAGAAACATTCTCAATGGCCCAACTTTTCTGAGTCCAGAATTATCCAAGGAATTCTAAGCCCCAAAGAACACGCCCCCCCAAAGTCCTACTTTCTTACCTCATTGCCCTACCCTTCTCAACTGCCACCCTGATAAGGGTCTGCCAACCCCATTGCAGGCCCCCATGCCCTGACTCCAGCTGACAGAATTACCCACAGGGCCCTCTGCCCCGGGTACCACTCTGGCGGCAGCACCAGAGTGTGCTCTCATCAAAGCCGTGAAAGGACAGATCACAGTTGCCCCTTTCAATCCGGGCTCCCTCATCCTCCTGGGTTAAGGAACACCGGCAGGGCGACAGGGTCTAACTCTCCCCATTTTCTTCTCGTCAGAGACTTTCAGATTCAGGTGCTTTCCCCACGACTTCTGGAGCGCTTGGTCTGCCAAACAGGAGATCAACCCGCAGAGCTAGCTGCTCACCTGGAGAGGGGGTGGCAGGAAGAGAAAGGCGGAGGAAGACTGACCAGGTCAGGGGAGGACGGATAAGCATGAGCAGCCTTGCGGGTGCGGATGTTCCTCTCAAGCTTCAGACTCCTCCCTCCTCCTCTGTGGGTCCTCATAGCCAGACAGCAAAACAGCCAGGAGAAACCACTCGGACCCTTCACGGAGCTTTCCCTAAACCATCCTTCCTCATCCCTATCAGGATCAGAATTAAAGCCTATGAAGGTGGAATGGGGGCGTCAGTGAACCTGGACTCTTAACAATTCTATGAACCTCAAGATGCAGCACCAAGCCCCAGGGCAGGCAACTCTTTGACATGCTTCCCAGCAAGACTAGGGACCTGAGAAACGTGTGTGCAAAGGGATGAACAACAGGTTCAGCAGAGGTGTGGGTTTAAAGGATCGAAAACATAGTCTTCCTCCCAAACACACCTATAACATGCCCAGCCACAAACCCAGTGAGAGCCAAGACAGATCCTGCTGGCCCAGAATGCCCCCACTTCACCCCCAGCAGGCAGCCTAGGGAAGCGAAACTGAGTCACAGGAACAAACTTGGCCTGAACTTTGTCCAAAACTCAAAAGACAAGAGTGGAGGCCAGCATAAGAAAGTGACCCAAGTGAGCCCTGTCCTTCATGGCTCCATAGGGGAAGGGCGGATCAGAGGCAACATAAAGAGGCCTTTGAGGGCTTTCAAAGGGGCTCCTGCCACCCCGCATGGCTGAAGTGGCCCGGCGGAGCAGATACCCTCTGCTGACAGAGGCCACAGCCAGCAGAGTCTGGGACAGGCCCCGCCCCGCCACTGTCACACAGAAATTCTATGGCCTCTTTATGCATGCCGGAGTCCCCACACCCTGCCCAGGCACATCAAACAGCCTCGGCCCTCACATTGACCCCGCAGGCTCTGCGACCCTGTGTCCTCCCCTCCACACTCACAAAGAGGGCTGCTTTCTCACAGACGGGGTCCGCTGGAGACTCAGAACACACTTCTCTAGCCGGCACCACAACCCACCGTTCTTCCCGGAGAGAGAAACCTGGTAGGGACTGTCTCGCACCAGGCACAGCCAAAGAAAGGGGTTGAGCATCCCAGTTCAACTTCTCTGGTCCACTCCAGGCAAGGCCAGAGGGAAAGGAGGTGGGGACCCCTGCTCCTCCACAGTGAACGGGATTCAATGCTTTGTTCCACACTGGGCAGCTCCTTGAGGCTGGCAGCAAGAAGATGACTCTCTGGGGTCTGAGTGTTTCCCAGCGCAACACCCCTACTGCCCATACCCTTGCCTCAGTCCCAGGAGACCAGTGCCCTGAGCCTTGCCTAATAGAATTTGGTACACAGCACTCTAAAGTGCAGCTGCATCCTCATGGTAGCTTCTTCATAAGGAAACTTAGAGACACCTTGAGGCACGGAGCTTGCAGACCTCACGCAGGTGCTGTGGAAATGTCTACCTGGGCTCCTGGGACAGGGGACGCAGCATGGAACCACTAAGTCCCCATACCTCCCAGCCCATCACTCACTGGTCTTTGGCTTTCTGGGACCCGCTATTTCCAAATATCCACTCAAGAAAAACTCCACAGTGACTACTCAAGCAACACCACCTCACAGGCATCCGAGGACCCCCTCGTAAGGCAGGCTCGCCACTCTGAGGGAACCCTAACAAAGAACAAGGACTGGGCAGAGGGAAGGGGGACCCGGCCCCACCCCAGGCAGGTTCCCCAGCTCCTGCCTTCCCCGTGGCTGGGAGGCCAGGGATTTAGAGTTCACCCTGCTGAGCTGTCTTTTCTTCCTTCAGACTAGAAGCCTTCTGCTCAGCAGCTTGTCAGAGAGAGTGAGGGGCTGCAGGCCGGGACACAAAGGGGGATTAGGGAGAAACCTCTGGGCCTGTGGAGTAATCCATCAAACTCTCCCCCGCTGCCAGCTCTGGCCCCTTCCCACTCAGTTCCCCTTCCAGCTGCTGCTGGCCCCCCACCTCCTCCTGCTCCAGAGTCCTGTCACAACCAGGCAGCAAAGAGAATCCCAGGCCCTGGGGGGGCAGCGGGGGCACACTAGAGACACTGGGAAAAGGGCAACGGCTCCCTCCCCCCACCTCCTCGAAATGTGTGAAAACCCAACAGGTGGCAGTGGCTTGGAGGAAAGTGGCCTTTGTTGCGGTGTCTAAGAGCCCAGTGCAGCTTCGGAAGGAAACAAATGCTAGAGCCTGGGGGAAGGGGAGGGGAAGGGGTAACAAGCCAGCCCTGGAGGCCGTGCGGATCTCCCCTCCCCTCCCCTCTCCAAACTAATGACAGGGACTCTGGGGCTCGCCTGAACCTCACCTTGGCCAGCAGTCAGTCCTGGCCAGCCCAGGCTGAGGCTGCAGTACCCTTAGGTCTCCTGGTCGGCCCTGGTGACAGCCAGCACACACGTGTGTCTGTTTCCAGGCTTCACTGCTGACAACAGCTGCCACCCACGGTCACACTGTATGTGTTCTCCATACCAGGACAAGCAGCAGTCTTCTACCAGAAGGAACCCTCTTCCATCCCTGGGGCTCTCCTGCACCCTGGCAGGTTCCACAGTAACCCAGCTTTTGGGGGATGCCACTTTCAGCCTGCTTGTAACTTGACCTACTGACCCTTAGTTTCCACATCTATAGCTCTTAATTGCAGTTAGCCCGTGTGACTGCTGGCTACGTGCACGCCAGCCCCACTTCCAATCAGTTTTCTCCGCCAGCCACTGGGTGATAGGGGTGCAACTAGCATGCCTGTTTCACAGAAGGAACTTCATGCCGCTGACTTCAGGCTGCAGGTATGGCTCAGTGATAGGGTGCTAGCATGCAGAATGTTCCGGAGTTCCAGCCTGAGCACCACGAAGCCAAAATCCTACAAGCCAACAACTTCAAAGCCACGTGAGAAAAAGGCTAAGAAGGGCCTTCGGTGGAGGGAACCTGGGAGGGGCTTTCTCATGACCTAACACAGAGGTTGAAAAGATCCTTTCTCCTCAGCTTCCCCTCTTCCCCCATCTACAAGGCCTCTCACCAGATCCCAGCAGCCCCCAGTGGCAAGAGGAATGCCAAGAATGTAAACGCCTTCCCAGGTGCTGGCCCCAACAGGTGAGGCGAGGCCAGTGCCACAGATCTGCTGCCGAGAGAAGGCTGTCCCATGGTGACCAGACAGTTGTTTCCATCCACAGGACATGGATGACAATAGCTGACCCGACCAACTGCCCAGCGGACATTTAGTACATGCCAGGAGCGTGGTAGGTCTCGTAATAAAGGTCTACCACACAGACTTGCTATTTCATAGTCCTAGTTCCCAAGAAACAAACTTCAGTTTCAGAGAACCTCCAAGGTTGAAAAACTAAAACCAGGAAATCTGCAACCATTCAAAAAAATTCTGGAAGACACTTTGAACTGCGAGCCAGAAAGATGTAGTCCTATTTCGGCAGCACTGATAGCTGTGTAACACAGAAAGCCATTTCACCGCCCTAGGACTCGGTTTCCACACCTGTAAAACGAGAGCTAATCTAATGCCTCCGGTGCACAGTGAGGTGACCTAGCACCTGTCCTGAGTCTCCTCTAGGGTGATCTCATGGGCAGGTGTCCCCTGACAAGGCCACAGGGCATCAGGGAGGGGCTGGCCACAGCCGGTCTCCCATGAGTCAGGGAGATGCAGTGGGGAAGAGCTCCCCAGCAGCACTTACCCCTTCAGGCCCCGAGCACACACTGCACAGATCCCAGCACTAGGTCAAGGTCAGAAGTCACCTGAAATGCAGCCGAGTAAGCAGGGCGCTGGGACAGAACTGCCCTTTTTGCTCCTCTCTCCTGGAGCTGGACTCTGTTCCTGGCAGAAATCAGTAACTAAATTCTTTCTATTCTTGGTCCACAATAAAAGAGTGCCAAAAAGTTCTGAAGTCCTCTACAGAGGAGGAAGAGAACCAAGGGAGTAACGGGGGTCTCGGCACAGTCCCCAGGCCACTCAGAAGTTCCCTCCCACTCTTTCAGAGCCTCTGCAAAGTGAAACTTCAACAGCCTTTCTCTCAGTGAACTTGACACCTGTCCGTCAGCCAGGCCAGCCTGGGCAGCTCTTCCCATGGTGCACACAGCCAATCGGAGTCCTCTCCCTTAGCCTGGCCTCTTTCTAGAGGTGAGGAACGCAAGAAAGAGGCCAGGGCTGAGCAATTTGAGCCAAATTCAGGGCTGAGGAGAGCCCAGGGCAGAGGCTCTGGATGTCCTACCTCCAGGGTCGTAAGTCTGGTGGCCTCTCTCTACCCTGACATACTCAGGTCTGTGATCAGTCTATCTGTATGAGAAGGATCTGGGGCAGTCAGTTCTGTGGAAGTGTAGTCCCAAAGACGAGGAACACACCTGTAATCCTAGCATTAGTGAGGCTGAGACAAGAGGACTATAGATTTGAGGTCAGCCAGGTCTTCATGGTGAATTCTAGGCCAGCCAGGGCTACACAGTGAGATTATGTCTCAAAAACAAAGGAGGCTGATGATCTAGTTCAGTGGAATAGCTTATATAGCTTATAGTTGATCCCAAGTCCAGAAAAAACAGTCAAGCAGGTGAACAAGGTTAAGAACAGATCCCAAAAGAAAACATGAAGAAGCTGGTTTACCCATCCTTGGAGGAAGTACACCTCAACATGCAACCTAAGGACCCCTAAAGAAATGTCGAAGAGAGTGGTTGTGGCATGCACCTTTAATCCCACACTCGGGAGGTAGAGGCAGGCAGATTTCTGTGAGTTCGAAGCCATCCTGGTCTACACACAGTAGTTCCAGGACAGCGAGGGCTACGCAGAGAAACCTGATGTCGAGGAGAAAAAAAAAAGTGTCTAAGAGCCCTAAAACGTGCCCATCAGTACTCACACAGCCGAGTTCTTTACCATCCCCCCACACCAGTGAAAGTGATGGAGGCACAGAAATAATTGATTAGAGCCCTACTTAGCAGGAAGTGCGATCCGTGTGCAGGTCAGGCAGTGTAAGAGCTAAGACACAGGCCAGCGAGTAGGGGGCACGGCAGTGTCAAAGTCAAAGCTTCCTGGAGGAAGTGGACCTGTGGCTGAGTCACGAAAGGTAAGCAGGTGCTGCACACAAAGGGCACAGAGCCTCTGGAGCCTGGGATTTCCAAACACAGCCAGGCCTCCTCCTGGCCCCTCTCCAGTGAGGTATACAGGAAAGAACATGAGAACCAAAGCCACACCACTGGGTTCTGATCTCAGATCCGGCTCTCAGATCGGTGTATCCTAGATGGTCACACCTCCTTGGGCCCAAGACAGGGGAATTCACTGGCACTTGGCTTGTTTTTGCTTTCAGCTATTTCCCCTTTCTGAGCAGCCTCTGCCCTTCACCTGAACCCTTTAGCTCAAGTCCTACACCTAATCCTTCAGGACCCCCTGTACCCCAAGATGTCATGTTCTTTCTCTTCCCCCGACTCTTTGCCACAACTAAGGCACGAGGCTGGATTCTGCATTTGCTCCTCAGTCTCTGGTTTGCCCCTTTCCCATGGCACCCACCCTGTGCAGTCCAGACAGCAAGAAGCAGAACAGCCCAGGCCCTGGGAGTCCAGAGGGCAGACCAAGACAGGAATCTTTTGATTGGATGAGAGAACCCAAGAGTCAGCCAGGGCACTCTCAGGCATCTGGGTGCACAGATCTCCAGCAACAGGGGCTGAGATTCTACATGGCTATACCCCTAAGTGATGAAGTGTTCCTAGCTTGGATACTATTTGCTAGCTCCAAGTACACGTGAGATTAGATGCTTGGGGGTGCTGAAGGCCCTCTAGGGAGAGGAACTGCTGTTGGGGGCTGGCTGGTCCTGAGGGTACCCCATCTGGCTGGCCATTTAGCCTGGCCTGGGTTTGATGACCAGTGACAGCGAGGATAGGAATTTCTTCTGACCTTCTTCATTCTGGCTTGTCCCAGCACCCCAGCAAAAGTGATGTCCAGAGTTTGGGGAAGGCGAACAAACATTTTTTTGAGTATCTGGTTTACACAGATTTTGCCAATATATGTCACATCTAATTCCCACCACAGCCTTGCAGGGTGACTAGAACCTCCACCTTACAGAAAAAGCAAGCCAACAGTGTAGGCAGGATGACATCTTCAACCTCAGAATTAAAAAGGCTCCCCCATTCCAGTCCCTCAGCGAAGGAGGAAGAAACACAGACCCTGTAGCAGAAAATGGGATTGATCAGGTAATTCTGGCCAAAGATGCCCTGTTCCCCCTCCCACCCCCATCCCAAGCTACACTCAATACACTAGACAAAGCTCAGTACTCCAGCTCTGCTGCTGGGAGTCAAGTGGCATCAGCATTTGAGACGCTGGGCCTGGCACCAACTGGTCCAGCCTCCGCGCAAACTGTCCAGCAAGCAGGGCCACTGGCTTTTCATAGGAAGTTAGGACTGCAATCTAACCCGGTGATGGAATGAAAGCCTAGAAAGCTAGGCTGGGCTTTCCTCGTGGATACCAGAGGGTAGCGTGAAAGACCCCAAAGGCTGGAGAGAGAAGACAGATAGATGCTCTCACTTCAGGGCACCCTCCCCACAGTCTTCCTAAAAGAACTCGTAACCGATCCACACATTCACTCCCTTACCTCGCAGTGCCCTCCTCCAGACTGTGAGTATACTCCTGGGAGGGAGGCAGGCAGTGGTTTCTGCACTAATCATAGAACACGTCAGAAAGTACAGAGATGTCCACCCAGTCTTGGTTTGTTCGTGGCACCGGACTCAAAATTCAACTGCAAATGTGTTCCTCGTGGCTTATGTATGGTTATATATGGTGACAGTCCCTGGCTAAGAAACCAGTTTCCAAGTTAATCCACCATGATAGCCTGCACACAGCAGCAGCTGACATTTCTCTCCATAAGCAGCCACTCTGCACAGAGGTTTACCTGCAGCCGTCTCCTTAATCCCGAAATCCTGGAGGGCAGGTCCTCCTATGCTTGCTTGCTTTGTGGAGGAGAAAGCACAGTCAGGAGCCAGTAACTCACTCTGGAGGAAATGGGATCTGAGCCACTTGCTAGGGCCAAGTCTCTTAGTGACTTGAACAAACTTCCCAAACGGACAGGAGTCTAAAGAAGTCTAAAACAGTAGCCTTTAAAAAAAAATAAGTATAAAAAGAGCAGGGCCCAAGTTGGACATGATGATATACACCTATAATCCCAGCACTAGAGCGCTCAAGATAGTTGTGAGTTCAAGAGCAGCCTGAGCTCCACAGACACTGTCACAACAAACAGCAGGGCCCCCAAAGAGTCTCAAACCAGTTGCTGCAGAACACCCAGACACGAGTGATAAATATAACAGCTCAGGCTAGCGTGCATTGAGCATTTACTACATTTTCAGACAACAAAATGGGTTTACTTGTTTTGCTGGGGGGGGGGTTATTTATTGTTATTTTAGTCTCACAGAATTCAGGCCATCCTGGAACTCATCAAGTAGACGAGACTGGCCTTGAACTCCTAATCCTCTTGCTTCTGCTTCCCAAGTGTGCTGAGCTTACAGGTGTAGGCCATTAGGCTGGGCTAAAGACACACAGTTAAATTCTATATATGTTATTTGATGAAGTTATATGTTTAGACTGTGTATCTTTTTAGTGCTATTTGTGTGCTGTAATGAACTTAAATGACAAAGCTGTACAGAGGGCATGGTCATTATCATCATCGTCCCCATTCGCAGCAAGGCTGAAAAGTTACCACAACTAGCAGGCTAGTGGAGCGCAGCCGGTGGAGCGGAACAGGCGTTGACGGAAAAGCCACCTCTCCTGGCAGTCTGTGTCCTCACCATCCCCCAACCCCCCAGTGCAGTAAGAGGTCAACGGTTCCCACCTGAAGTCAGTCTTACTTCCGGTGACCTTGAACCAGTCATTCCTCCCCACCTTCCAGCTGTTCTGTCCCCACGGCTCTGTTCCAGCTTGGGACCAGTACCCAGAAGCCTGAAGGGCATAGTGACCACCCAGGGACCTTGTCCAGTTCCTCTTCCAGCTCCTCCAGGGTTACTCAGAGAACCAGGAGGACAGTGGATTTCACCCTCCACCCCAAAAGTGCATAGGAAAGCTCGCTTGGAAAAAGACCCTACCTGGGGCCCTTGTGTCCAGAGCGGTATCGTTATCTTTAGACTCATCCAGTGAGTCAAGCTCCTTTTACTAAAAGTCTGGGCACTTTTAGTACAGTCTTGCTTCCAGGACAGCCCTGGAGCTGGGGCTGGCGGGAGATAAGGGAGGAATGAGGGGATGAAATGGATCCAACAGAAGGACCAGAGGCTTCAAACACGTCCCTCTTACTCCCTAGGACATGGAGCTGTGTGGGGTTCTGAGGTTTCCTGTCCAGCATATAGTTCTTGGGCCCCTCCTCTTCCCAGATCCATATGTCAACCTGTTCCCCACGCCTTAGGCACGTGGGCCCACACCGAAGCTGTCATTCTGGGAAAGGAATTGTGCTTCACGCTAAGGAAACAGAGGTCAGAAACTCCAAGAGTCTCACCCTCCCTACCGAGAGAGCCCAGCAAGAGTCATTCTGAACCCCGTGTCTACGTCTATGCCATGCCCGCCTGCAAGGCCCCAACTGGGCTATTCAAAGTTCAACTTAGCTGGGGTAGGGTCTGCCACAGCTGGCATCAAGTTCTCTCCAAGTACCCACCGGACCAAACTCCTCCTACCTCCAACTCAAGACTCCTGAGGAAAGAGGAAGCACCGGGTACCCCGTGGCCTTGGACGAGTCAAGTGTGTGTCACGAAGGAGTGGGCTGAGTCGTAGGTCAAGGGAGAGAGCAGTCACAGGGCTCCCTGGAGGGGTGCGGAGACCAGCGGAGGGCTGAACCTGCAGGCTCCTGGGGTTTCTTCAACGGGCGTGCTGCCGCCCGCCTAGCGCTCTCTAGAACCGCAGAGTACTCCCCATCCCTACCTGAGCCTTGGGACACAGGAGCTACAGACGGCGCTGCTTTCCCCTCCGTAGGAGAATAACCGAGGCAGAGAGAAGGGGCACAGAACGCGCGTGTACACATACACTCACCAATCCAGCCTCAACTCCACCAAAGCCTAGCCCCAATTCTACCGCCAAGAAAGTTAAGTCCCCCTTCTGTCCCGAACCACGGCGCCCAGCTGGAGGTCCCTTCTCGGACTCCCCCTAAGTGTGAACTGTGCACGCCGCGGTGACTCATCTGCCCCTTTCGGGAGAAGCCCAGACAAGGGAAGAAATAAACGCAACTTTCCAAAGAAAACTCTGCAGCGGGAGGCTGCAGCAGGGCCGGCCTGGCCCGGGACTCCACGGCCCCGATCCCGCCCTCGGCGCGCGGCCCCGGACAGCAGGCGCCGCAGCTCAGAGCTCCCGGAGGAAGCGCACTCCGCGCGGACGCGAGCGGGCGCCCGCCCTGGGCACCGGGCCGCCAGGGGCCGCGCCCTCCCCACGAGCCTCCTCTCGCGCAGGGCCGGGACGCCACGGCGCGGCCCCATCCCGCGGGAAGCAGAACGCCAACCGCCGAGCGTGGCCACCCGCGCGCTCCTTTTCCACCGGGACCGGCCCCTCCCCTACCTGGCCCGGCGCGCGGCTGTCACCTGGGGCTGGCGCGTGCAAGCTCGGACCCCTGCTTCTCCAACGCGCGCCAGCGGGCGGCTTTTAAATCTCCAGGTTACTCGGTGGGGGGAGAGAGCATGCGCGCTGGGGCTGCCAGGAGGGGGGCGGGGCGAGGCGGGTCGGAGGTGGGGGGTGCTGGGAGGGGATGGAGGGGTGGGGCCGGTCCCCAAGGGAAGAAAGCGGGAGGTGGAAAAGCAGTCTCCTTTCTGGTCGCGGCCGGACGGGCAGCCCCCGCGTGGCTCCTAGACTGCCCTATCATTACCTAGGGCCGTGCACCGCCCCCTCTGCCGCTCGCCACCAAAACATTTTGGTAAAAACTACCCGGCTCCACGGGGTACCTCCCCTCCGCTCCCGAGCCAGTCTGCGACCATTACCCGCGCGTGCCATTCTGGACATCCTGCTGTCCAGGCACAGCCACGACTCGGGTACCCGCCCTGGCCCATGCCTTGAAAGGATCTGTGACATTCTGCGAGTTACTCTCCCTGCTCTCAGAAAGCTAACTCAGTGCCTCCTGCAACTCAAAGACAAACTCCCAATTCTTTTTTTTTTTCTACCGTGATTATGTATACGGAAGGAGAGGTGATAAATTGCCACCCAAATGTTCCCAGTCAATGTTTCTAAAAGTCCCTTGGCTAGCAGGAAGCCAGTGCAGGTGAGAGGCAGATCGCTGCGGTTCTGGCCTGACCTCGGGGTGGAGGACGGGGGCTTTATTGCGTCTCTTTCATCCATGGGATTTTATAAAGAGAGGAGAAATTCATTTAGGCGACTTGTTGATTTCAATACAGGCCAGGGATTTCTGCGAATTTTTGTGGTGCACGAGACTCAACTGATTACAAAATATTAGAGGAAAATGTTACATTGATATGTGTTGTGTGTTAGGCTGAGGATTATTTTGATTGTCTCGGTATGAACATGAATAGACCTTTTTTTCTTGTGATTCTCTGAGCAAGATAGACATAACAAGTTCTTACCTGTGTGAGCATTTATATCATATTAAGTGTGTGTAATCTGTCAATGAAATGAAGTCTTCAGGAAGATGTGTGTAGGTTTGTGTTCAAATACACCATGCTACACCACGAGATCTTGAGATGGATCCTGTATCCATAGGGTCCTGGAACCATCTGCACTACAAACTCCCAGGAGATGCTTTTGATGGGAAGGACCTGGCTGGCCTTGGGTCGAAACTGGCCTCTGTGGTGCTGGATTGCAGTGCTAGCCTGGTGTTAACCAGCTGTGCACCACGGGGCAAGTCCTTCCCATGTTCTGGGTTCTGTTAGAAGAGGCAGCTAGTCAGCTGATCTTTAAAGGCACCCCCGGGTGGGAGGATGGGGGCAGAATAGAAAGGGAGATATCAAAGGGAGAAGTGGGGTAGTGGGGAAGAGAGTGTGTGTGTGCAGGGGCAAGCAGAGGACAAAAATGTCAAGAGCTTACATTTTGAGTCATTAAGTTCAATTTGAAAACCATCTGGGCATGGCCTCTCTGGGAGCACATGAGCCTCCATCCCTAGCCAAGACCCTGGCTTTCCAACATTTTTGGCATAGTTATTTGTGGCCAGCAGAGAGCCCAGGAGTCCTGGGTCCCTGAGCGAGTGTCCCCTTTGCCCCAGGATAAAGGGCAGGAGTCAGGGGGAATGCTCAGTCAGGTGGTCAGGTGGAAAATTACAGAGCCTGGAAGAATGGACAGTGGTATTTTCCAGGCTTGGGAAAGAACAGCGGGAGCAAGAGTGTTGTCCTACCTCAGAGGACTGGGAGTGCTCTCTCTTGTCTGGGCTTCATTCCTTGCTCCAGGGAAGAGGGGGAAGGGTTCCAGAGAGTGAGGGAACAGCTTGGTAGGAGACCCGGCAGTCTGCCTGCCACCTGAACAACTGCCTGAGACTGTGTTTTCCACAAAGGTGCTTCCTTCCCAAGCCACAGGGAGACTTTAGTGCCTTAGGCCATCCTGCTCTAATAGCTCTTCCTCCTTGTGCAGCCTTCTGCCATAATCCTGGGTAACCAGTATGCCAGGAACTGTTTCTGAGTGCTTAAGACTACCTAGGCCACGAATATTACTTAAAGACACTGAGGCAGTTTCTCAGTTTCATTCTTTCCCCCACAACTCCCAGATCACAGTCTGTGGCTGCAGAAGCCTCTCATCTAGCTCTGCCTGTAACTTCGGAGCACAGAGAAATTGTCACACCTGTGTTCCTCCCTGCCATGCTGAGGCCCTTCTGCACAAATAGCTTCTCTGGGTCTCAGTTCTCCACCAAGTAGGAAAACCACCAGGAGCCTTGCCTTCCTCTCCTGTCCCTCCCCCATTGTTCACATGTGCACACACATACTAAAGCCCTACTCCCTAGTCATTTCCCATTTATAGGAAATGGGGGATGATGTGAGGAATAAGGCCATCCTTGGGGACCTGCTAATAGTCTGGCTGGATATTGGAGAAACCAAAGATGCTGGCAAAATGCATTAGCAGATTCTGCCCCACCCCCTCCCCATCTTCTCCCCATTATCCTTGGGCTCAGAGCAGGCAGCCTCCTTTCTAAGAGATAGATGTCTAGCTGAGAGTGGGCTTTGCAGAAGGCCGGGAAGCCAGGAAGGACCCACAGATCCTTTAATGTCTTCTCCCTGTCTGCACTGGCCATTTCACCATCTCTTCCTTCTCCTGCCTGCCTCAGGGTGAGAGTCAGCAGTCTCTTGAAATCAGAAGGACCAGCAACAGGGTCAAATCCATGCTGGCATATTGGAAGAAAGAATGGGTCCCCTGGACACAGCAGTTCTATTCCTGGTAGTAGCCAGGGATGTGTCTTTCAGAAGCGCGTGTCTCATTATTCTCCAGAGCTGGGGAAAGCTAGAAACAAAGCAGTAGAACAAGGCCCTGATTCAGCAAATTATGGTGAATCCACACAAGGGAAAGCTCTGCTACTATTAAAAATGGTGACAGGCAGGTAGTGGGTGCCTGTAACCACTTCATTCCAGAGGGAAAGCACGAGCATCGTGATTTGAGGCAGCCTGGGCTACAGCAGTGAGATCCATCTCAAAACCGTAAGGAGGAGAAGTACGGCTCAGCTAAAGACAGAAGATGTCTTTAGCATGGTCCTAGGTTCCAGGCCAGTCAGAAAAAAAAAATCGAATTATGATTACAATTGGAGAAGGGTTTGTGATGTGTTATCAAGTGAGCAGAGCTGGTAACAAAATAGCATGCACAACAAGTTATAGCTTTGTGTAAAAAATGATGCCTTGGGCTGGAGAGATGGCTCAGAGGTTAAGAGCACTGGCTGTTCTTCCAGAGGTCCTGAGTTCAATTCCCAGCAATCACTTGGGGGCTCACAACCATCTGTAATGAGATCTGGTGCCCTCTTCTGACCTACAGACAGAACACTGTATACATAATAAACAAATCTTTAAAAAAATTATTAAAAATTACTTAAAAATTATTTTTTTAAAAATGATGTTTCTACTCATATAATAGGATTGAATCTTGGAATGAACAAGGGTGTTAACGGAAAGAGTAGACTTGGAATAAAATCTCATTCTTGTAAACAGCACTTCGCTAGTATTAATTTCTCAGTTTTGATTACTGCGCTGTGGAAAACTGGCCCAACAGTAGACAGGAATTCACTGTTATTTTTGTGATCTAGAATTAGTCCAAGGTTTAAAACATGGTTTTAAAGTGAGAGCCCCAGGACCCTTCTGTCTCTTTGCCTACAAATGCTTTGGGACTACAAGTCATTCTCCGCAATGCCTGGTTTTTTTTTTTTTTTTTTGACATTTATTTAGTGTGCGTGTATGTGTAGGTCAGAGGACAACTTGCAGGACTTGGGTCTCTTCTTCCATCATGGGGGTTCTGGGGATCAAACTCAGAGTATTAAGTGTGACAGCACATGCCTTTATTCTATAGCCATCTTGCTAGCTCAATATATGTTATTTTTAAATAGCAAAAATGAAATAAAGGAAGGGGAAAGAAAGAGAATTGAGTGGTCACCACTGTGGCTGTCTTTGCCACCTGTGCCCAGTGGGCTAGAGGTGGGCAGGCCAGAAACAGGACAGCCACGGTTGAGCAATACTCCTGACAAAGGCTCTATGGTGTGAGGAAGAATCCAGGAGGAACCGTGTGGAAAGGGTGAATAAGGAATAACCTGGAAGATTGCACAGCCGCAGCTGGGCCAGGCCTGCCAGTGCTGAGCATGCCAAGCTCCAGGATGTTCTGGGAGTGAAAGAGTAGGAAATCGAAAGCACTGACAGAACCAGATGGCTCATCTCCCCTCTCCAGCTCAGGGATGCTTGTGGCCTCTGGGTCGTGGGGTCACTGTGCTCGTCAGAGGCCAGAGAACCTCACAGTTGTTGACAAATGAGGTCCTCACCACATAGCTTAGGACACAACAGTCCCGCTCTTCCAGGCACTTTCTGGGAAAAGCTTCCCTCAGAGAATGTTCTGGAAGCCTTTTATGAGGGACCGGTCTCTTGCATTCAGACTTCCTTGTTGAGGCTATTGCACGGCACCACTCCTTACTCCCCCACCCTCCCACCGCCCCCACCACCCTCACTACTTCCCTGACCCGGCCCAGGGAATCTTTGAGAACCAGGTGCCTCTCGGCTGCAGCTTCAACAAGCAGAGGTAAAGCGTAGAGGGTGGGAGCAAGCAAACTGGAATAGAACTGGAACACTGAGCCCATTCCTGCTGCAGGAAGGTCTTGGCTTTTGAATGGGCGAAAGCAATATCTAGAAATGGCTTCAGAGAGCAAACTAAGAGCAGAGTTATGGGGAGCCAAGCAGAGCAAGCTTCAAAGAAATAGAGAGGGTTAGAGAGGAGATACACCTAGAGGGAAGGCCCAAATGACTTCAAGTGGGCATTAAGCAAAGTAGGGACGGGGGTGGGGTGGGGTGGTGGATGAACTGCTCTCTCTCTCTCTCTCTCTCTCTCTCTCTCTCTCTCTCTCTCTTTCTCTCCCCACATGTGTTGCAAGTACAGCCTACTCTTGTAGAAGCCTAAGTAGGAGGCTACATTGGGATGTGGTTAGACACCTGATGAAGGTGTCTTAAGTCAAGTCTGTGAGATCAAGGCATA